TGCTGGGATGCTTTCCCAGTGAGCTGTGGACGGTGAGATGAAACATCAAATATCCCTCTGAAATGGATATCAGCTGTTCTGACTCAGCTTCATACTCTAGTTCATTCCAACAGCAAGATCCGGGTGGTCTCAGTTTTAGGGGTCCAAGGCACTGGGAAGTCCACTCTCCTTAACACCATGTTTGGGGTCCAGTTTGCTGTCAGCAGTGGAAGATGCACCAGAGGGGCCTTCATGCTACTGATTAAAGTCAACAAAGAACTCAAGGAGGAGCTGAAATGTGACTTCATCATGATCATTGACACAGAGGGGTTGAAATCACTAGAGCTGGCTCAACTAGATGATAACCATGAACATGACAATGAACTGGCCACACTGGTGATAGGACTCAGTGATGTTACGATTATCAATATTGCCATGGAGAATGCCACAGAGATGAAAGACATTCTGCAGATTGTTGTTCATGCCTTCCTCAGGATGAAGGAAGTGGGGAAGAAGCCGATATGCCATTTTGTGCACCAGAATGTGCCGGACATGTCTGCTTATGACAACAATATGAGGGACAGGAAGAAGTTGTTGGAACAGTTGAATGAAATGACCCTGGCAGCAGCCAGAATGGAGAAGAAGGAGAATATCACCAAGTTCACTGACGTGATGGACTATGATCCAGACACAAGCAACTGCTACATCCCAGGACTCTGGCATGGGACTCCCCCTATGGCTCCAGTCAATGCAGGCTACAGTGAAGCTGTGTATGATTTCAAAAAGAGCTTGATGCAAGATTTAAGACAATGTCCGAGTAATGATGACATGACACATTTCCTGAAGTGGACACAAAGCTTGTGGGAGTCTGTGAAATATGAGAAATTCATTTTCAGTTTCAGAAACAGCTTGGTTGCAGATGCATACTCCAGATTATGCGCGGAGTACAATGGTTGGGAATGGGCCTTCCAGAGGGAGATGTATACATGGATGGTGGGTGCTGAAACTAAAATGTCAAATTTCTGCATAACAGATCAAAATCACCAAATGAGCATAAGAGATGTGCTGACGAACCAGATGACGGAAGCATCAAAGAAGCTGGCATTAGAAGAAAAAGAAATTCAACACAATCTTGTGAAATACTTTGAAAGGCAAGATGGCCATGTCAATCTGGTGGAAAATTACAGGGAAGGCTTTGTGGCCAGTGCCAAAACACTGAGACGAGAGACAGAAAACACGATGAGTAAAACTCTACATGATGCTGTTGAGATCAAAGAGGGAATGGCCCAAACTGGATGAAATCAAGAGTTCACAGGCAAATACACTAGAAAAGAAGGTGCTGGCTTTGCTACAGAACTGTAGACAGAAAAAAACAGATTTATCAGATCAGGCCCTCAGAGAAGAGTTTGAAAGCATGTGGAAGAAAATTCCATCTGAGATCACATTCAGAGGACTCCCAAGAAGAGATGTGGCTCAGGATGCCTTCCTGAAGTTACAAGATCATTTATCTGCTAGGCCGGGCTATGTTAATAGTATGTTGGTTAAAAACAATTTGGTGGATTGTGGTAGAAACCCCTTTGTTGTGGAGTCAGGGGATTGGTGGGGTATGGCTAAAGGTTTAATAAAGCACTGGGTTCCAGACCATCAAAGGACAAAAATGCAACAGTTTTGTGATGACATCATAACACAGTGTCAGGACTTTGTAACCCAGAAGGTGGAAAACAAAACAGATTACTATGATACTTACATCAAAGAGCTGCTGAACAAGATTGATGAAACATTGCAACAACACGTGAATGTTAAAGTCAGTGAGGAATGTGAGGTTTCTCTGAAGCTACACATCTGTGGCAGAGCAGCCAGAGAGTTCCAGAAGATGCATGATGATTTCATTGAAGTCAATGACCCAAGGAAGTGTCTAGAGCTGTCCAAGTACATCTACCAAGCTGACTTCATACTTTTGTTCCATGACCGAGACCAGTGCCAAAAGAAAGCTGAGGATTTCACAAAGCTGTGTATACAGCCAGCTGTAAAGGAATATGTGACCAAATTTCTTGGTCCTGATGTGGTTGATTACATGAAGACCGGTAAAGGGTCAGAGGATTACAGCACACGGACGGCCTTCCAGTTCTCCATTTTGAAACAACTCCTGACAGATGGAAAATATGAGAAATATAAAGGGTACATACGCAATTATGAAAGCTTTGTGAAGGACTGGCTGTTTGACCAGATGGTCCAACAACTCTCAAAGGAAAGCAGACGAGAGAAATTGGAGAAGAAACATCTTCGAGAGATAGTCAAGATAATCACTGAAGCAATTTCAAACATCAGATATACAACTCACACTGTAACTGACATGAAGACATTCATTCAGAACATATGCCGTGCCCTTAGAGAGAAGCTTGTCTTTCCAAAGGATGCTCTGAATTCCATCATGACACTGAACTACTCTGCTAACACAGCACAGTTTGCTGACTACCTCACCATTTCTGTGGGAGAAATGGAACAGTCACTGGCAGCTGAGTACGACAAGGGAGGAGACATCAAAGAGAGACTCAGATCTCTGCCATTCAAGCCTCAGGACAAGATGTTCACTACTCTTTTTGGCTGTGGGAAAATATGTCCTTTCTGTGGTGTACCCTGTGAAGCAGGGGGGAAGCAGCACGACAAACACTTTTCCTCCATTCACCGTTCAGAAGGTATCCGTGGTTGGAGGAGTACGTTTTCACAGAAATTAATGATTGACATATGTTCATCTCTTGTGGTTAGCAGCCAAAGCTTCTTTGTGCAGGAGACAGCTGCAGGACGGCAATATCACCCCTATAAGGACTACCAGACATATTACCCTGACTGGAACATAGATGGAGATAGCAGCATGGAGGCTGCAGACTACTGGAAGTATGTGATGGCTACATTCAATGAGACAATTGCTAAAGAGGATGGTGCATTTCCTGCTGATATCCCAGAGGACTGGAAGACATTAACACCTGATGATGCATTGAAGAGCTTAAAAATGTCATTCAACATGAGATAAAGTGAAAGACTATAACATCACTCTTCTTGACAAACATAAAATTGGCCAATTAAAAATGTCAGACATGACAACCATAAATAACTCACCTACAGTATGAATATGACGACATAACATAATCAAAAAGTCAAAAGCCAAGCCAGTCACTTCTACAAATAACTTTTTTAATAAATTGCAAATACCTCAATTCCAAAATGATTTCCCCATGACCAAATAACCAAAACCCATCAGGGAAAAATGTGACGTTTGATGCTCAGGCACTTTTACCTTTGACATGCCTTGATTGGTTTGTTAACCCTTCCTTTGTGTTCTGCGACCCGGAAACAGAGTTTGAAATCACTAAAATTATATTTTACATAATTTTTCCACCATGACCCTTCATCTACTTTCCTAACTTGTAAACACCTAATAAAAAATACATTAAGAAAATTAGACTCAGTACTGGAATAGTGACATCCATGATGTTCTGGGTCAATTTGACCCCCGCAATTTGACCTTGACCTTGGTCTATATAACTTTTGAACGTTTCTTCCTAGAAACAAGCTGCTTTCTGCACAGGAATGGTATCCCTATGATTCTGAGAGGCTGAGCAACACTGATCTTTAGTCAATTGACCTTGACCTTTGTGTTAGCGACAAATGGTCTTCTGTGCAGTAAAGATCTATCCATGATGATCATGAGATAATAAGCATAAACATCCTGTTAAATTACTAGAGGGGCTATATCATAAACCCTCGAAGTTCCAGAATGGGGTGAAAATGGCAGCCATATTGGTCAGGGAGAAACTCAAACCAGGCTAATTGGAATGAATGGCAGTAGAGGCATAATCCTGATTTGACTTCTGCAGGACAATAAAAGTAAGGCATGTGATATATCAGACATTGTGTAATAGAATTATTGGCAACCTTAAATATTGTCATAGAATTATAAATATCGTTTATATGGGTTTAATACCAATTTTCTGTATAAATAGCCTCTAATATATATGAAAACAGACCATACATTAAAAAAAATGTTTTATTGGAAAGCTGTGAGTGCTATTACAGTATATGATACAATATCAGTACTTGTAAATGTACAACTTGTCTAAATCATATCATCAACTGATTTCAGCCAGTGTATGGCTGTGGATTGACTGCAATGTTTGAATGGAATGTTGCCATATGTGCAGTTAATCTGAAACATTTATGGAATCATTCCTCAAACTGGCTGGCTAGCTAGCTAACAAACATACAGTGCAGATAAATTCTTCAAATTCATTATTTTACACAATACTGTATCTTATCACTGGCAAACTGGTTGACCAACTTCCTGACCAAAATGTCTGACCTTTATCCCATCCTAAGACGGTTCATGTCTATTCTAGTATTCTAATTCCTATTGATATAAGTATGTTTTCCCTGTGATGTTCAGGGGCAGAGGGACAGTGATCTGACGTTTAGCAAAAAATGTCAGAAATGTCATAAAATGAAATAATTTGATGGATTTACAACTTTGGTACAGTAAACATGTGGTATACATTTTGAACAGTTGGGTCTATCAACCTAGGGGGAAAAAGCATATGAAATAGGTAATTGGAAGTTGAAAATCATATTTAGGATCTTACTGTTCTTACTGTACTTACTGTTCTTACTGTACTTACTGTGCTTACTGTACTTACTGTTGTTACTGTACTTACTGTACTTACTGTTGTTACTGTGCTTACTGTACTTACTGTTGTTACTGTGCTTACTGTACTTACTGTTGTTACTGTGCTTACTGTACTTACTGTTGTTACTGTACTTACTGTTGTTACTGTGCTTACTGTACTTACTGTTGTTACTGTGCTTACTGTACTTACTGTTGTTACTGTACTTACTGTACTTACTGTTGTTACTGTACTTACTGTTGTTACTGTACTTACTGTTGTTACTGTACTTACTGTGCTTACTGTTCTTACTGTACTTACTGTTCTTACTGTACGGGTCAAATTGGCCCTGAACATAAACGTGTAGGCCGAATCGAACATAAGGGAAGGGTTAAAGGAAGAATCTGTTCTTAGCAGTTCATCAAATAACACCTGTCACAATCATAGAAGGCTGTGAGGCTAGTGGCAGTAACACACAACAAAATGGAGGCTAAACTTGTAGGATATTGACCATCCCCCCCCAAAAAAACAAAGGCTCTCTTACCAGATAGTTGCAGATAAAAAGCTTTTATTATATTGGCATATCCATGTAGGAAAATTAAAACAAGGAAAACAAATTGGCATCAGTCAACACTTAGCAGTTTCACACAACCTTCATCGGGGCCTTGTAGCAAGGCTAGTGTTTGAGATGACATCACTGACTGACAGATACCTGCAGTATAGGATAAAGGTGGAGTTATACCATATATACTCAATCAATCAAATGTATTTATGGGTATTCCAGCATGACAATGATCCAAAACACACGGCCAAGGCAACAAAGGAGTGGCAAAAGAAGAAGCCCATTAAGGTCCTGGAGTGGCCTAGCCAGTCTCCAGACCTTAATCCCATAGAAAATCTGAGGAGGGAGCTGAAGTTTCGAGTTGCCAAACGTCAGCCTTGAAACCTTAATGACTTGGAGAAGATCTGCAAAGAGGAGTGGGACAAAATCCCTCCTGAGATGTGTGCAAACCTGGTGGCCAACTGCAAGAAACGTCTGATCTCTGTGATTGCCAACAAGGGTTTTGCCACCAAGTACTAAGTCATGTTTTGCAGAGAGGTCAAATACTTATTTCCCTCATTAAAATGCAAATGAATTTATAACATTTTTGACATGCGTTTTTCTGGATTTTTTTGTTGTTATTCTGTCTCTCACTGTTCAAATAAACCTAGCATTAAATTATAGACTGAACATGTCTTTGTCAGTGGGCAAACATACAAAATCAGCAGGGGATCAAATACTCCCCCCCCCCCCCCCCCCCCCCCCCCCCCCTCAATCTATCTTATATTATATAATCATACCATTGACCTTTTCTCTGTTTACAGACTCTGTTCAATTATTACGTAAGTATTTTACAATTAAATAATTAATCAATATTTGTTCATTGACTATATAGCATAGCGCTATCAACAAAATGCATGAAAAGTGATTTACAAACAAAGTTGTTATTAGAATGTAATTTATGCAATTAAAATATACAATAACTATTGTTAGGGATTGTTTCTATAGCAATGAAAATAAGTTAGAGAAGGAGAGGAGGAGGGAGGAGATGAAGAGAGGAAAGAGAGGAAAGATGAAGAAGAGAGGACGAAGAGCGAAGGAGAGCCTGGAGAGAATTACTATCTACCGCGCTCTGATTCCTCTACTGCCTCTTCTCTCTAGGTCTGCGCTATCTTCTCTCTTCTCTCTCTCTTCTCTCCTCTTTCTTTCTTCTCGATCCCTTATCTCTGTTCTCTTCTTTGCGAGTAAGACATTTTGACAATTACATAAGTTAACTGTTTTTGATATTAAGTCATTCTACACCATCAACAGATTTAATCAGTCATGTTGACGCCATACATCTGAAGCATCCCTTCACTCCTATCATGTCTGCTGTCTCTTCCAACATATTAGGTCTGACCCATCAGCTCCAAAAAGTCCACAGAGGTCACTCTGCCGCCACCTAGAGGGAAAATATCATTAACTGGAAGCAGAGAGGGATTAGTGAAGGAGAAGAGGAATGAGTCAACTATTAACAGATAACATTTATGGTAGTACAAAGTCTCATGAACCCGACCTGTTTTGAAGGAACATATTTCATTCTCTACAGTTATAGAGCTCTGTTTACAGTCAATGTTAGCAGAGAACTTGCGTGGAAAGTTCATCTAGTCGGTCAAGAGGAAGGCGCACCGGGTGGGCTTCTCCAGGTATGTATGTGATCAATAATTTGACATTAATATATGTAGTTGATTGTTAAAGTGATTGTTACATGTACCACTAAAACTTAATGAAAGGTATTGCATCTTATTTATTGTTTCTGTGTCTCTACTATGTCTATTGTAATTAGGAAACGTTTTACTGTTGTTGATCAAACAGTTACTGTACTAACGTGGCATTGAAAGTGACCCTCAGTCTACCATCAAAATGGTTCCAGAGAAAATGGCAAAGATTGTTAAAGGGAAAATATACTGTGCATGTAGACAATTCAACTTGAAACTATTCAAGGAAGATTGATATGCTCTGGTAATTATTATATTGTTGATCATAATTTCATTTTTACCAAATGTATTTCAGTCCATCAAAACTATGACAACGTATGACTTGAGTCTGTTTGTGACAATCATGTCAAACTGTTGTTGACAGAACCTTATATTTAGAAATAATATTATTTCTTAATGTGTTCTTAAAATACTTTGACATATCATTGCTTTAACTAATCAGAATCATTGACAACAAGGTAACCTTGAAAGTGTACTTGCTTTCAGATGGCTTTATGATTATATGGTCAGGTACTATCAGGTACTGTACATTGTAATGTCAGTAATAGGAGTGTCTGTTATATATTTACAGACTGATGCTGTGCTGACTCATTCTTAGACCTTGTGATCATCAGGGTGATCTAGATGACATGGTCTAAACTGTGTAATAGCCTACATTTGCTCCATGCGACTCTAAATGCAGCAGGACATTGTCATGGTGATTTTACACATTCAAGTTCACAAAAATGGTATTACAATTAACATTAGGCCATAGCTTATATTTGTACTATGCCCATGTAGCACATGGGATTGTGTGAAACTCACTCCTCAAGCCTGAATTGTCCCCACTCACACAGCTGGAACGCCCTCTTGCTGTTGAGTAAATGGGTCAGGTGTTAATGAATTACCAGGCTAGCTTAATGAATCACTGTTCTCCATCAGATAAATATGGCCTAAAATGGAGGAGTGGTGATATTTAAGCAATAAGGCCCGATGTACTGTATATGGCCAATATACCACAGCTAAGGGCTGTTTTGAAACACGACACAAACAGTTACAGAGTTTAATGGCTGTGATATAAGACAACTGAGGATGGATC